AAAAAAAAAAAAAAAAAAAAAAAAAAAAAAAAAAAAAAAAAAAAAAAAAAAAAAAAAAAAAAACATGTGAAAGTGAAAAGTGTACAGGAAAAATAAGGGGCTGCGAAGCAGCCCCATAAGCCCCTAGTCTCCTTGGAAAAAACAAAAAATCAATACAAAACATAGTAAGATATTTTTCTATCGAGTGCCTCGATTTTCGCACTTAGCCATCGGTTTGAAGGGTTCCACAAGAAATTCTGGAAGCTCGACCCTTCCATGATGAACTAAATTATCCAACATTATGATCACAACGCTTTTCTGGCCAAATCTAGAGGAGAGATACATCTTATATCAAACTCGAACGACATCTTTAGGAGGGTTATGCTCTAATTATGATCTGGTGCGTGTGCCAGTTCACCCTGTATCTTTTAAAAGTTTGGTTTTTGCTTATTTTTTCTTTTCTTTTAGAGATATAACCCTTTCGAAATTTACCTAATGTTTATTCAAAGATCATCCCATGAGAAATCGGCCAATCGTCCTAAATCATTCGACTCCAATTCATCTTTCAACAGTTTAATCATTAAATTATTACCTGGAGGTATTGACTCCGTTAAGTAGGATTTTTTTTTATTTATTTATTTTTTCCCCTTCTTATCATTAATGGAGAAAGAACTTAATTTTACAGTCATCAGAGTAGGTCTGTTGGAATCTTCGGTGATAATGAATAAAAGTAAATAATTAAGCAAATATCAACAATTTTTTACAGCTCTTGAACTAAACAGAACAGCACTCGAAAGTTAGTCCTGAGCCTCGGACCTCGAGGAATCAAGTATACCTCCCTCTCTCTCTCTCTTTCTCTCGGCCCTACAAGGCTCCCATCATTAAATGTATCTTCATCCACGTATTCCATTGTGTTTTAAAAACGGCCGGCTCAGCCCAGCATTTTTACTGTTGAGACCGCGCCATTCAAGTCTAAAGCATTGTTGTCGCTCCTTTTTAATCCCATAAATTCATTATTAATATACGTACTTTAAGCACCAAATTGCTTTCAGTACCCCAAAGCCAAAATTTACCTAACTCAAATTTTTGCAAAACTCGATTTAGTGGCGTTTTCAAAATTCCATTGACGGTTCCATGCGTTTGGAAAATTTGGTAGCCCTATCTTACGCCGGTTATTAGATACTTACTTTCAAAAATTGCGATTTACATTGGGATCAGGGGGCCAACGCTCGGTTTTCCTCTGATATCTCGAAAATACTAAAATGGAGTTGGGTATACCTTTTGGCCCTGGGGCATTGATATACGTTCCGGTGAAAAAACGAGCGCGGCTCGTGCATCTGCTGACTGGGAACTTAGACTCGCCTTCAATTTCTAGGTAGGCCACAAAAAAAAACTCCACCGCTGCATTAGTTATTTCTTTGATGATTTGAGGATAAGTATGTCTTGCGTTCAGTGTTCGAAACTCTCAGGCGCCAACGCGACTAATGCGCCTAAGAAATCGGTCATGGCGCCTAAAAAATGAAGGCCCTGCTCCAAAACGGCCCCTAAAAATTGCCCCTCCCCCCTCCAAAAAACAAATCCTAATTTTTCTGTTTGGTTAGTTTTCGAAATTTCCCCCAAGTTACAATTACTATACTTCTGTAACTAAAACATCTTGCGTCTAAATTCCCACCAAGTGCTCCGTGATATGTAGGCAAAAAGTCAATCTGGCCTGTAAAAAATCTTCAAACGGCCCCTAAAAATCGAGCTCGTTGCCCCACATGGCTCCTGAAACTCAAAGGTGAGTTTCGAACACTGCTTGCGACGTGCGTACAAAATTATCTCGTGTACCCAACTTGGCGAGTTTGAAACTAGCTCTGTTTTGGCGTAGGAGAAATGATATAAATAGTTTCAACAGATTATAATTATTTCCTCCTTTGACGAGAAAAAAATTATAGAAATCATAAGAAGCGTTTTGAAATTAGACCAGACAGCACGGAATGTTTCCGGTGTATTGTATGCTGAATATTTAGAGAATGTCTCTGGGGTGTTCTTCGGAAATACATGATGTCTAATGCAAATTTTATCGACCACAACAAAAGTAAGGAACAAGCACATCCCAATTAAGGAGGAGTATCGATAAGGGCCGTTTTTAGGCCCACCCTAAATTTCCGTAACCACACGATTTTTTTCTCATTAAAGGTCTATAGTTTACGTTGCGCATCATGATTTGATTATTTTCAGTCCTAAAACTGACCTAACATTCAGGGAGGAATGCGGATTTATCGGCGTTCGACTGGAAATCCGCAAAATTTGCAAATTTTGTCAAAAATTGACTTCTAGACCCATATTTAGCTCAGCATAAGACCTGAAAAGAGACAGAAATGGACCA